GATATGAAGATGAATATCTTTGTAAATCAGTCATACCATCCTAATCCCCCTACATCATTTATGGGGGAGCAGGGGTGGCTCAGTGAGTTAGACGCTTGCTCGCTAACCTAAAGGTCCAGTGTTCAATCCCGGCATAGGTTGAGATAATACCTTCGGATTTTTCAACCCGGTTTCCCCCTGTCAGTGATGCAGGTACGAGGAGCTGACATCGAAAAAGCATCTAGTCGTCCAGATGGGACAATAAACTGAGGCCTTTTGTGCTAAAGGCACAGATCCCTCGACAGTTGGAAATCGAAAAAGAGCATGCACATCTTTGGAGGTCAGCATATTCTAGCATTAGTAGACCTAGCCAACTAGTAGATAGTACAGCAAATTACTAATACTGTTAATTGAATATTTGGTACAGTTCTAAGTAGGGGGGCATTCATTTAGTATTTTACTTACTGCAGACTGCAGAATGACAAAAACACTCACTAGACTATTTCATAACTTATCTTTGGTAAGCTTATAGATATACAGAGGATCTTAAACGAGCACTAATGTCATTCAATTTATGAAACGAGTTGCCAGATTTGATATTTCTCTTGCATTGGTGAAGGAAATATTTAATCTGGCAACTTATTTCATTTGACATAAGTGAAAGAATCTATTTATCACATCACTATCAGTAAATGCAATATATGTCCTCGCATATAAAAATTAAGATTTAGGTAAAAACTTTCATGTGATAGCTAAATTGAAAGTATTAATCAAGATATACTGTAACAATTTTTGGTGACAATTACATGCCCTTTACTGTCAATTTTAACTGAGTTGCAAATTTCACAGAATGTCATTTTATTATGTTGCGCATAAATACATGACCTACATAGTTATTAACCTGTGCCCTTAAAAATCGTTTTTCTGAACCTGTGTTATGAACCCAGGAACAGTATTGTTGTGTGATAAGGCAAATTATTAGATTTTAATACAGAAGTAATTTTATTCAAGTATTTAAGCCGAATTATTACATTCAGTTGAAAATATTTGATTACAGGATATATCTTATGAAAAAGATAAGGTGTAAAATGTCCTATAAAATGAAAATGATGACATCAACTGCATTCCCCTGTATGCATTCCTAATTCCCTAAATCTTGTTCAAAGAATTGCAAAATCGAGA